GAAACAGGTGCGCGCAAAACCCGGCTGAGCCGGCACGGCGGGCCAGCCCCGGGTTTCTGGTCAGCCAGGCACACTGCCCGGCAAGAACGGCGAGAGCAGCGCATGTTAGCAAAGGGACGGTGCTTGCGGGAGGGACAGGGGGAGCAGGCAGGCGTCGGCAGCGCTTGTTGACTCATGCTTCGCATCCCGCTGCAGGCCCAGGAGCCCCAAGACGGGCTGTCGATCCGTACCGGGGCTGGCGGGTGGGAAGCATACCACCTCGGGCTCCCGGACACCAGCACAGAGCTTTGGAGGCGCGCAGAGACGCTGTCGGACACGCTTCGCCGCTACGGCAGGCGTCTCCACGACCGTCCCCACCGCGGGACACCCCGGATGCGGCAGTGATGCGGCGCAACATCGCCGCGCGGTTTTCCACGCCATGGTGCAAATGCAGCTCGCGCCCGTTGCTGCCCTCGACACGTCGGCGCAGGACGATGGCTCCGTAGGTTCCCCCACGCCGTTCGCATCGCCGGCCACGAGCCCACGCCAGTCTGGCCGCCTTGGCGAGGCGGCCCCGACGCTGGTCGACGAAGCAACGTTTGGGTTTGCGCCGCCTCCGTCGCCAAGACGTCGTCCACCCGCGCGCCCATGGCAGGATGCCTACCCACCGAGTCTCGAGCGCTGTTGTTGTCACAGGCCGGGCCACACGCTGCGCGCGCCTTCACAGTCTTCCCTAGACGGTGCCATCACCGCGCTTCCGCGTCTTCCGGTGTGCTCGCGTCTCGAGCCCCCCATGAAGCCGGGGCGAGGGTCGCCCGCAACGTTCGCCTGGCTGACATGAACATCGATGCCCGGGTCTCGGATGACCGCCGCATCAAAGTCATCGCGAACGGGTTGTCCTTGTGGCATGGTGCGCAGCAAGCTATTGATGCCACCATCGTCAGCCCCGTGACGCGGGCGGGTGACGCCCAGCCCGGTGCTGACAGGCATCCGGTCGGGCTGCCAGACCTACCCCGAGCTCGTGCGCGCTCGCCGCTGCCGCTTGGTGGTCGTCGGTGTGGAGGTTGGGGGCCGGTCCGGGCGCAGAGGCGGCCACCAGGCAACGTGCGTCGGATGTTCTGGCGGCCATGCGAGCGGCAGCGCGTGCGGCGTGGGTCGCTCGTTGGTCGGGGCTGCTCGCCGTCGCTGCCCAGCGCGCCATCGCCGCGTCCTTGTTGGAACTCCCGCTCGCGGGGGGGTGCAACGTCGCCGGAGAGGCGCCGGAGCTGCACGAAGTGCTTGCAGACGTGCGCTGGCAGCTCCCGGTCATGGGCAGCCGCCAGGGACCTCGCTAGTGTCCCGGCAGGAGCGACTCCAGCAAGCTTGCCTACCCTTCCAATTAGGGCTCAGCACGAGAGTTGGAACTGAGGCGCTCGCCCGCGTCCTGCGCGTTGCAACCAAAGTCAGCCCGCGTGCCACGGTCCTGTCGGTCGATGCTGCGGGGGCATTTGGCCATGTGTCCCGGGCTGCGATGCTGGCGGCGTTGCATATGCAGCCAACGCTACGGCTCCCTCTCCTCCCCTATGCCCAGCAATCGGACGACCACGGATGCAGCCACGAGGTGTGCCAAGCGGAAGGCGGCGAGCAAGGAGACGTCCACAACTCCGGGATGGCGAAGCTGTTTTTGCCTTCCTGGACGACATCTACATCGCTGCTGCACCTGAGCGGGTCCTCCAACTGTATGAGCACGTCGAAGTCGCCTTGTGATCCAGGACCTCCAGCCCGAGGGCGGTGATCCGGTTTGGGTCGGGATTGGGCGCTGCCCCAGGACCAACAGGGTCTCGTCGCGCTGGGCACGCCGCTCACAGACGTGCTGCCCAAGTCCCGCACGTCCCACGTCCAGGATCTCCAAGCTTCCTGGCTGCTTTTGCGCTACTGCGCTCCGCCTAGGGCAAATTACTTGCTGCCAGCGCAGTCCGCGTGCAACAATCCTCTCGGTTGACGCTGTTGGGGCATTCGAAGCGACCCTCTGATGCCAGCGCTCTACGCCCTCGCGCAGCACCCTGCGCTCGCCGAACTCCAGGGCCAGCTTCTCCCAGGCCGTTTTCGCCTTCCTTGGCGATATCTACGTCGTCGCTGAACCTGAGCGTGTTCGGCCTTTGCTGGATGCACTGTCCGCGCTTGGCTCCTTTGATGGAACCCACACTGTCACCAGACCAAATGGGCTTCCGTCCTTGTACAGGGGTGGAACACGCGTTAGTGGTGCTTGATTCAATGCTCGGGAAGTGTGCGGAATGGGGATGCGCATTGTGGTGTGCAAGCCTTGATTTATGCAAAGCCTTCGATCGAGTTAATCACGAGTCACTTTTTGCAGCGTTGGATGCGGCTGGCATGCCTGGTGAATACGTTTCTTTGCTGAGATCCTTATACACGTCACAAACGGGCGCTGTCAGAGATGGTCGGCCATTTCATATACGGCGTGGGGTCAAGCAAGGTGATGTTCTCAGCCCTCTCCTCTTCAACGTTGCCTTGGAATATGCGTTGGATAAATGGAAGCAGCGTCTCAGTCATCATGGGTGGGATGTTGGAACTGCAGTGCGATTGACAAACATTCGTTTTGCTGACGATCTTCTGCTGTATGCGAAGTCTTGTAGTAAACTTACCACAATGATCACGTTCTTGAAGCAAGAGCTGTGAAAAATTGGCTTGGAATTGAATGCAGACAAAACCAAGATATTCACAACGTTGTCTCTCGAATCACCAATGTACATTGAAGTTGATGACGATTTGCTGGAAGTGTTGTTCGAAGGCAAGACGCACAAATATCTGGGGCGCTCCCTATCCGGAAATGTTACAAAAAGGGCAGCTGTCGAAGTCGCTCACCGTTCACAAGTGGCTTGGGGGAAGTTCATGAAACACAAGCACGTTCTGCAGAACAAACATATTGCAGTTCGTAATCGGCTGAAGTATTTCGATGCTGTGATTACTCCCACTGTGCTGTTCAGCTTGCACGCGCTGCCTCTGACCCAGAAGCAACTTCATGACCTCAATATCTTGCAAAGGCGTATGCTAAAAAAAAAATGCTACGTTCTATTGTTGGTTGGCGACGGGTGGATGGTGAACCATGGTCTGACACCATGACGCGCATGAATCAACGGGTCGCCTCCGCCCTCCAACAGCACCCTGTCACTGCGTGGGATCAGCAATTGCTGTCTAGGCAGTACAACTTTGCGGCAACCGTGACGAGAAGTCAATGGCCGAGCTTGGTTTGCAAATGGGATCCCAGAACTTGGTGGTCAGCGAATACGACAACACGACCCACTAGAATTGTGGGCCGGCCCCGTGCAAAATGGGATGATCGACTGTCAAAGTTTGCTGCCCAATGCTTCCCAAACTATGTGAGCTGGATTGATGCTGCGTGTGATGTTGAGCGTTGGAAGCTCAAAAAAGCTGAGTACATAGAAATGTTCAAAGTGGAAATGTAAATACCTGTAGTTCGCGAGCGCAGCGCGAGCGCTTTTCCAGCAACCTGTCCCATGTCCTTATAGGACCGTAGCTTGACTCGAACGGGCAAAAGCAAAAAAAACAAACTGTCCGCCGCCCTGTGGGAGCATGCGCGGGTCAGATTGCATGCGGGCAAGACCCGCATATGGAATGCGGCCGGTGAAGAGCTCCCTTCCATAGCCGACCCGGGCGCCGCTGGCTCGTCGGACCCGGCGTGGGTCGGCGACTGGTCGCTCCCACCCGACCAGCAAGGCCTCGCCGTGCTGGGCGCGCCGCATGACGCGTACGTCCATGCCCAGCTACGCCTCAAACGTGCACAGCATGACCGACTTCTTGGCCGCACCCCGCAGTTGTCTAACTTGCAGGCAGCGTGGCTCTCCGGGTCCTCCCCCCTCACCAGACCGAGGCGTACGCGCGGGAGCACGACGCGGCAGTTGCCCAGTGCCTGACCCGCCTCCTGCAGCGCGGCGAAGAACACAGCTAGCACCTGCTCATTCCCTCACTCTCTCACTCCCTCACGCACACTTACGCACGCACTCACGCACTCACTCGCTCACTTTCATGCAGCTGCTCGGCCAGGTCGTGCAGCAATGCTTGGACACTCGCAAATTTTGTACAGAGGGGCCCATCTCGGAGGTGATGCTTTCTGGGATTCGTGCAGCATACTAGTTCCCAAATATAGACATCGCGCATATTACTGTAGCCGCCCAGGGTTTTCAGAAGCATTTAGACATCGAATGACCTCTTGCAACGAGCTTTGGCTTTGAGCGTTTTGTGTTTCCAGCTCCCCGCGCTGCTCCAGCATGGCTGCGCAGATGGATGCCCAGCCAAGTGCTGAGCATCTCGCACACTATGAACGCTTGCCCCTGCCAAAGTCCTGGAAACTTAGGTTGCCAACTGCTCACGGCATCTCAGCGGGCCCCAATTTGGGACGAGGAACGTAACGCCGAAGACGCAGTCGTGTGCAGAGTAGCATGGGTTCCGAAATTATCGTGTCAGTCGCGAGGGCCAGCTGGCTATTTTCTTGATTGCGCATGAACAGTTGGAGCAAATCAATTGCACGATCGTTCCAGGATTGGGGAAGACGCCGCAGTCGAGGGTCGTGAAGTTCCAGGAGCTCATATCCGAAACGATTTGGTAGGGAACAACAAAGGCGAACGCAGGAGCTACACGATCATTATGTGGCGGCAATGCAGACAAATAGATTCTCGAGCCTCCAGCAGAGGAGCACACTACCGTTCCAGAGGCACGTTTTTTTTTGCGATCAGCCTAGGGCGGTGTTGCACTGGTCTTAGTGTGCTGTTCCTCATGTGCTTGCGCATCGGCGGCAGCTTTTATGTTGCAATGCCGTCCGTTTCATCCTTTGCCATGGGAATTGTTGCAAACACGAAGAATCTGGATTTGTCATGGCAGACTTGAGCTTCACGTTCTGCTTTGCGGATGTGGGAGCGGTCACAGGTCAACTCGTTCACCCACGGGCTGGGTGCCGCCGGGGCAGCTACTGTAACAGCTGCCTTGGTTCGGGCCCCAGGGTTTGTATGTTTAATATAGTAAATTCTACATGTCAGTGTCTTCGAGAGTGTGGGAGGGTTTCAGCGAAGAACGCCTGCCTAGCTGATGCTGCTGGTGTTCTTTATCTTCATGCCAAGGCCATTCGCTCCAAAGTGCGGCGACGCGCAAATGCGATGCATGGTGGACATCCCAAGTCGGGACGCCACGGTGTCGCTGCTGCTGCCAGCAGCACTGTGTCCACACCCATGGGGTTGCAGGTGCTGCGAGGGTCAGCCGGCTATGTCAATAGTTGGAAAGTTGCATGGCAGAGACAAGCCTCACATACCCATCAGGATTCTCAAGCCTCCGAAGGCTAGATTGATTCCTTCATCCCTTTCCAGGGGTCACATCGAAAAGACGAGGTTGCAGAGGCCAGCTCGGCGCTGGCTTGTGACCACGCGGTTCTGAAGTCGAGCAAGCGTCGAGCAAGCGTCGAGCATGGAAGCTCATGGAAGCTGTACGCCTTGCTAAAAGCCACTAGTCACGACATTCCTACAGTGCGCGTAGCCTTCCCGTATCTTCCCGTGCTGCAGGCTAAAGTGGCTCCTTCCTTGGGCGAGAAATGGAGGATGAATGAAGAGTTGATGGACAACGGCTTTTCGAGGCAACGCGGGGGCAATCCGCGCTTCACCCCAGCTGAAGTCCGCCGTGCTTTTCTTCTTTTACGAAGCGCATACGAATGGCTCAGCACCTGGTCAGGCTCTCCGAGGTTCAAGCCAGTGGCTTGTTGGATCAGTGCATCAGGCCCCAGCTGATTTCTATTTCTCGCTCCAACAAGCAATCCCCTACATCATCCATATCTTGCAATCCTACCACAGCATCCTTCACAGGCTTGCTGAGCCACACAAGACAACACAAAGGCGTCTTCCGGCATTTTGTGCCAGGATCTCGGGGCGCGCGCTCGGGAAGGTCTTGGAGACGCCTGACATGAAATATCGACAGCTGGACATGGAGAAGCCCAAGGCTTTTTGGGATCCTTTAAAGCAGGTTTTTTCTTTTTTCTCAAAATGTTTTTGGATTCATTTGGGGTATTTGGAGTCATGTTGCGATCGTATGATAAGCAGTAGGCGACTCGACTCAAGACATGAGCCGCTGGGGCATCATCAGGGATTCTATCATCTTTGTGCGCGTTTGAGGTGGCCGGCATCTTGTCGACCCCCGGCATCCTTGAAATCTTCTATGGTGCAGGCCCCTCCCTCCGAGATGTAGTTGATGGAAGGATTGGCGAAAGCTCGAGAAAGTCATCATCATCACCATCATCATCATCATCATCATCATCATCACCATCACAACTGGCACCATCACTATCATCGCAAGAGTCTCGCTGTCGTCTGAAGAACAAAGCTACAACAATTGTGGATGGTCGACATGCGTGTTACTTATTGATTTGCTTTCAGCTTACTGCTGCCTTCGACGGCCCTGATCTTCAGGGTGGGTCGAGGAAGACAATTGGCTGGTATTGCCAGAAGGCACTCCTTTTGAGCCGGCGCCTCGTTTTTTTGCGTACGAATATGGCGCGGCTAGTAGAATGATGTGGAGGAAAAGGAGCCAAGTGGGCAGACCGTATCTGTTCTATCGATCTGCGCGAATCTATGCCGGCGCTTGCCTGCGCAAGGCTCACGCAGCGTGCCGTGGAAGGTTTGCAAAGGGAGCAGCGACGTCGAGCCACCGTCGGGTTGCCCAGCGGAGTGCCGAGTCATGGACTGCAAAAGCTACTGGGAGCAGTTTAGCGGTTGCCCCGTTGTTTGGTTCATCTTTCAAGTTGGCTGAGGTACAGAGCACAGCCCAGAATCCCAATGAGCGCCTTGGACAGAGCTTGGCTCGAAGCACAGCCTTTGAAGAAGGGCACGGCAAGATTGCATGATTGGGCGCAGGAAGATTCAAGCCAAGGCCATGCAACTTGTCTCATTAAAATGTCGAACCGAGGCGCCGGTTCAACCCATGGGATGGAAAGCTCTACACCTTCAAGGAGTCATGTGCCCGCATTGAGGGGGGTTTGCGCTCTTTAGCGCATGTTGGGACCAAGTCCAACTCAAAGCAGGAGTTGGAGAAGTGCCTCAGCACGGCAGACTTGACTCTTGCAGAAATCCAGGCGGGACGTCAGCAACCAGAGGATACACAAGTCGACACAGCCATGACCAGAGAGCACATATGGTACAGAAGAAGGGGCCGAGTCGAATCAAGAGAATGCTCAACTTCGACTGCTCCAGGAGCACTGGGCCCACAGATGTCGGCCAGTTGCGCAGAAGGACCGATACATGTGTGATCTGGCTTGCATACTCTGATTCTTTCAGCTTTGCTCACGTTTTGCAGTTCCGCGCCTTCTGTAGTGAGGGGCTACATTTGTCTTTCACTCTGCGTGGCTGGTGACCTGTGGCATGGCAATGGCTTCACGATGCAGGAAGGGGCTGCCATTGGTGGGCCCGAAGTGCCTGTGGCTTCAGAACCGCAGGTGCGCAAGCAGAAGTTGTGCTTGATAGTTGTCCCGCGCAGACCACGTAATCAGGACACCCTAAGGGTGCCAAGTTTCAATCAATTTTCCCAGTGACCGCTCCAACTTGCTGACTTTGTCGCAGTTTGCGGTCACTGCATCTTTTGCTGCACGCGATGCGTTGTTTCCGGGCGTGTGTGGAGAGGTGGAGGCCTGGCAGCAGATGTGGAGGATCCAATCCATCAATCGCATGTGGACCTCGGCTGATCTTGCGCACGCCCGGATCTCAGCCAGAGCCACAAGTGGTCGGTGACCGTGGAGCGGGCGTAGAACGTGTCGATGGCATGCCGGGAAACCGTGTGGCAGGTCCATGCCATCAGCGGCGCGGCCTATCTTGCATTAGGCTGCCGTGCTTTCTGCTTAGCACAAAATCCATGGCAGCTTAGGGGGGGATGGCCACCTAGTCGATCACGTGATTGCCACGGGGAGGGGCTGGTGGAAGAGAGGGAAGGTCTCCGACGGATATGCCCTGACTAGGACCATGACCATAACCCGAAAGTCTCATGCACTGAGTCCGCAAACATAAAGTAAGCTCTGCCCTCGCGAGTTCGCTTTCCTTATGTCAGGCGCTTTCGTGTTGCTGTATACCTCCATGACCGATCTCATGGCTCTCAATGGGAGCTGGGTGCAGGCCTCGGAGTTTACTGAGACCCAGAAGACCCTCACATGGTGAGACCGACTCGCGCAATTTCGGTCAATGTCATCCAATCTCATCCGGCTCTGAAGAACAACAGTTGCCAGCCCGGCTAGTAGTATTGCCGGAGTTGTTCCTCCAAGGCTCCGGTGCTTCCCATGGAGGCCTTGTGCACCTTGCTTCAGCTGCAGTCCTGAAACCTGACCTGAGAGTCAGGACCCCACATGTTGCATGCAACCCTGACATACCCTGACCATGAAGCCATGCGTAACTGGACATGGAATATGCACATGCGTCTTGCTCAGTGCTGTCAAGCCTGTCGCCAGAGAGTTCCAAAGTTGAACACAGTCAGAACGCACAAATAAGCAGCGCAAAGCAGCGCAACGCAGCGCAAAGCAGCGCAAAGCAGTGCAAAGCAGGTGAAGCTGGTGGCACTCTGGACTGGAGTCTTGAACGCCCTCAGCGGCCTTCAGCCAAGCCTCCTGGGCCCGCCCTGCCCTCACAGTTTCTCATGCAGTCCTCATGCTTTGCGAGGTTTTGCGAGGCAGCATGCGGATTCAGGGACGGGTGACCCCTTATCTCTGACGAGCCATGCCCTCTCGACTCCCACGAGAAGTCGCACCAGTCCTGTTAACACCATTTCGAAGACATATCCGCACATCAGCTGCGTTTTGTGTTTTCATTCTCGAGGCGCAGAGATGTTCTAAAGCTCCTGGGCTTCGGCAGCACCGGCGATGTGAAGACGGGCGGTTTCCTGATGCATGCCTGCATTGTGCAAAGCTTTTTTGCGCTTTGATGGCTCTTAGGGAGTCTGAGCCTGGCCTTGTATCCACTTCGGAACACGATCTCAGGAACGCAGCTGCGTTCTACATGGCCGCGCGCTTGTTGCCGCCCTCGGCCACCCCTGACTTGATGCCTCCACGTCTTGCTCTCAGGTTCTGGCTTATCAAGCAGCTCGGGCTGTCTGGCCGGAGCTTTCCATCCTAGATCCCATCGTCGGAGGACTCACCTTGCTGCTGGTAGCCCATCAGGCGCGAGAGGGATGGCGATCTGAATTCGCGGGGTGGGCCAGTCGAAACGTCTGATGGCCTTTGCTTGGCACGTGGAGATGTCAATAAACCAACATTCGGTGGCAGAACTCAGTTGCTTGCTTGGCACCTGGGGCAGGCCTTCATTCTCAATTGCTGGGTCCAAAGTGGTCAGATGCACCGAGTGGACTCCTTCCTGGTGCCGGGCATGTTCAATCTTCCGGCATTTTGGCTCTTTACAGTGGCCGAAACAGTGAAAGAGTGCTTTATTGAATGCTTCTTGGCACGCTCTTGCAACATGTTGCAATGCTTGCGGCTGTCAAGGTATCCTTGCATCTCCTGGCCGGCAGCCAGGTGCAGGGCAATGCTTGGTGATGGTCGGCTCCAGGATTTTCGGTCGGGCGGTTAAAGTTGTAAGAATGGGCATCCCCTCAGTTCTCAAAGCCATCTCTGCAGGCATGGTGGGAAGAGCTGTGCAGTCGGTATGATGCCTGGCCGGAGTGAGGGATCCCAGATTCACAAGGATCTGACTTGCAGCGGGTCGCCGCGACAGGCAGTAGTAACGCCCGTCGGCTGAACCTTTTTGTGCGAAAAACAAATTACTAAAGGGTTTGAACTTGCTGTGCAGGCTGCGCAACGGCTCTGTGAACCTGGACCCAAGTAGTTTTGTTTGTGGATTGCTGGGATGCTTGCTGAGGTTCTTCTTTTCTGGCAACTTCGCGATCGCATGGGCTTGCTCTTCGGCAGGATAGTCAGCAGAGAGTCAAGTCGCGCAGGTGGGAGAAGCTAGGCTAGCAGCTAGGCTTCTGGAGTACCCTTGCTGGGGGAGAATTTACCAACGATTTCTTTGCACGACAACTGTACTTTTTTGAATGCTTGCGTGCAGTATTCGCGTCTTGGGGAGACCGAGGAAGTGCCTTCCATCTGCACTAAAGTCCTGAGACGCGTGCCACAGCTCCGAGGTGCCATGGTGACGCTGGTGCTGTCGTTGTACGAGAGGAGCCAAAGAGTCGGAATGAGACCAATGGGCATTACAATGGTCCAGCGTTCATATTGAGCAGAAAGAATTGGAAAGAATGGTCTTCTGAGCATATCCTGCACATTGCCATGGCCACTTGCGTTGACATAGGTGCAGGACATGTTTCGGAAGCGTCGTAGAGTTTCCTATTGCCAGGAGGGTCATCAGTTTGGAGCTGCGTGGCTTCTTGATGCTGAGCTTCCCAGCGTTGGTGTTCCTCACAGCACGCCGCCCCGGTTAAGGGGTTGGAAGTCCACTTCAGCCTGGGCACTTGTGTTGTGTGGTGATTGCATCTAGGGTGTGAAGCCCAATCAGCAGTACCACATTTTCCCAGAAACAACCGTACCACGGGCATACATGTGCCGATACGCCTATTATTTGGTTGAGGCTGAGACATTGTGTGCAGACTGGGGTAGTCATAAATATGGCGTGCTTGGCATACCGCTGCATAGCGAAACGATGTAGTTGTGCGCCACGTCGCATGTAGCCTCTCGCTCTTATGCGTTCTGCAAACATTGGCACGGCAAGCTCATGAGGCAACTTGTGAGTACCTGTGACAGATGCATCGAAGGAGTGTCCTTGCACCCAAGGTCTTTCTTCGTGCAATGGTTTTGTTACCACATGCGCTGGAAGAGAACCTTTGGCTACTGCTGACGCTGAACCCTTGAGCACAGAGCAGAGTATCCGTCCTCAGTCCTGAAATCACTCAAAAGTAGATCGATTCCAGAAGTCGTTTCTGTCTCCGCGGCCGATGTGGTCGGAGCAGACCTCTTGGCCGTGGGAGTTTTGTTTCGGTGCCAGTGGCTTTCGGGCCCGGTCATGATCAAGCATGAACAATAGTGGAGAAGTACGGTCTGACAAGAAGCCTCGCCTCGAGAGACACTTGGCACATTTGTCCGGTGAGCTGTGTTGTTTCCATTGGTTTCCGCAGAGTGCGAGGGGGAGGCTGTTTCAAGCACTCCTTTGCAACGCTGTGCTAGTTTCAAGTCCGGGGCCAAACTGGTGTGGTACTAGAGTGCAGCACATTGTGTGTTTATGTTAGCTTAGCTGAGGTACCACAACACAAGGCCCTAGACACTGATCAGATTCTGACTCGTGTGATACGTACTATCACAGCAAGTGGGGTGCGATCCCAACAAGAACCTTTTGCCCGACAAGGTACTTTATGGCTGAGCACAGCCAACATAGGACAGCAGATGACATCACGGCATCCTTCGCGTTAGATTTCATGCTACCATTGCAAGTCGTGCAGCCGAATGCAATTCAATTTGGGGCCTATGCTTTGAGATGCACTGCAGCCTTCCATTGCACTCAGCATGCCTTCGGGGCGCTTAGGCATTGGTTTGTACAGGTTCTGGCTGCACTTGGCTTGGGCCTGTTAGGCCTTTTGGGCATTCGTTCAGCCTGACTTGGACTGCCATCGGTCTCCAGCCAGGTGTAATCTACTAGTAAGTCGGTTCCTCTCCGTCCCTACCCTAGACCGGCTGCTAGTAAGTGTTCTTTCCTGTCCATCGCCATTTCTGGCTGAAAGCCTTTGCGACCTTTGTGGGGCCGCCACGTGCATGTTGAGGAGGGTGGGGTGCCTCTCTGCGCAATGCAGTGCGGACCTCAATTCCTCACATTTCTCCCTGAGCAAGCCTTGACTTGATGTTTCCGGGCTCCTACGGCGCGATTGTCACGGACAGGCGCAGACCTCGCAGGTGATCATGCCTCGCAATTCGGAGGAATCTTCAGATGAGGCACATCTGCGCAAAAGTTTCAAAGACAATGCGCGCTGTGACGGGTGGTCGTGTGTTGTGGCTGCGTGGGCTCTGTGGGGCAGGCTTGGGGGATGTTTTATCGACAGATCGCGCATGTCTTTCGAGAGTCGTAATCGTGCAGCAGAAGAACTCAGTGGGATGCTCAGGCGAACCGGGTTAGGAAGGCACTGTTTCATATTGTATGCAGCGACAGTCAACTCAAGAAACGTGATTTGTAAGGTTGAAGATGTCGAGTGTGTCAATGCTCGAGTCTAGTCGTGTGTCATCGTCAGGAGAAGCCACCCACAGCAGAGGAAGTGGAAGAGTCCATCGCCCAATGTCGAGCAACATCGAGCAACATCTCTTGCTTGTTAGTTCAGGATGTGAGACAGCTATGCCCACAGGTTTATCCGACACAACAAAGTGGACGCCGGTGCCTTAGTTCGGCCTTTAGACTTGCAACCTATACGCACTGGGCATCTCCCAGTCCCTTCTGAGGAACGTGCTGCGCAGGATTTGCGAGAATGCCCCCCAGAGGCTCGGGGGGACACGTGTTCTTTGCCAGTTGCATGACGTTTTCTGCCAATTGCAAGCGTTGCAATTGCGATCCTTGCAGCAGAACGGCGGGCGCGTGCCAAATGCAGGTGCAGAAACGTGTGCTTACCAGGGGCGACCTGAACTCTGCGATGCCCTCAATCGTGATCAAACCACACACCGAACACGCCACAAATAACATCTTCAGGCACGGAATCCATCCGCAGCGGTGCTGGATGCTGCCTCAGACAAGGGAGCGTTAATGTCGTTTTTGGCTTCTTGGTGGGCATGTCAACATGTTATGTTGATTCGTAGGAAGGGACGCTGTTGAAAATCCTCAAGTGCCTGTCAATTCCGATGAGCTCTCAGAGGTGTTCCTCTTACCTACAGGGCAAACCTTCTTTTTGCATTTTGGTCTAGAAGCGAGGCCTCCGTCTCCTCGATTGGCTTCCAAATTTCAGAAGGTTCCCACCTGCCGTAGATGTGGAGAGGAAATGTTTGTTGCATCCTGTTTAATCAAGCATGGCTGACCTCAATTTCATGTAGCATGTGATTTTGCTTCTAGATGCTTACTCGGACATGTCGTCTAGATGCAGACAGGAAAACTCTCCATTCCCCTATACTGATTCATTCTCGTCGTTCTCCTCCGAGAATTTCGAGTCTTTTCTTTCTAGAATCTTGCAGACAGTCTAAGACCCACTTCAAATGCACCCCAATTGCATTTGAAGAGCATCACAAGCACTGCGAGGGCCCAGAAGCAACGGCAGGTCTGCACTTCACGGGACCGAGGAGGCGGGAGCGCCACTTGGAGCACAGCAAACGGCAAAATGCACTTCCCTGCATTCACGGCGACGTGCAGCGAGCCATCCGAGACAGCAAAAGGCCGGAAAGTGCGTCCACGCCACGTTTTTGCGACACGGACCATAAGGGACCCAGGCGAGAGAGAGCGGTTTGGCACCTGCCAGGACAAAACCGTGCGATGTGCTACGGTGTGCTATGATATGGATGCAATCTGATGTCCATGGGCTCTGCCGAGCGCACGAGGGCATCCGGGCCCACGGTCGTCGATGTTTTCGGCGTCCGAACGCACGACCAGGTCAATCAATCAGTCTTCTTCCCGAATGTAGGAACCCCGTGGTGCAGGCACTGTTTGGTGCAGCAAAGATCAATGAAGCAAAACAAGCCCGAACAAACCAAACTGAACCCACGAACACGATTCGAGGTCCGCATCCGGGATGCTCGCGTGGAAGACAAGCCCCAACGCGGACGAGCTGGGCTTGGTGCTCAGACAAGTGAGAGCCCAGGCAGAGTGCACTTGCTCAGGAAGACACAAGGAAGCAACTCACAAGATCTCACAAGATCTCACAAGCCTTCCAGATGTTGAGTTAGCTGGTTCTCGCGTCCGGAGGTCGCGGCCCATGGGCTTGCCAAGCAGCTTTGGACTCACGGTGCCGCCGCACTTGCACATTCCCGCGAGCCTGTCCGATGGCCAAGGCTCTGAGGTCAACAGCTACATCAAAACTAACGGTGTGAACGAAGTAGCTGCCGGGCACTTGTTGCAAACACACAGGCCGATGCTTCATGAATGAACTGTCAAGCTTTCATCGAGGCAAAAGCACTTCGAAGTTGCTCCCCAACAGTGAAGCGGACCGTGTTAAGCAGCGGCGATGTCATAGGCTGGAAGCAGACGAAGCAAGTCTTGGAAACTTTGCTGGGAACATTCGTCAACTGGGGGGCATTCTCGAGGTTCTGGGCCCAGAATTGCAAGGGTTGAGATGAAAGCACCCCTTCTTAGGCTTTACAAGCTTAAATCGCTGCAGTGTGGCTTGTTCTGCTTGGCGGGTGGAAAAATCTAAGCTCAAATCGCGAAGGCTTTCAAGGACAAAGTCCCATTCTGATTTCCGTGGAGCTCACATTCTCTTCTCCAAATCCCGTCGGCCTTTGACGGAGTCTCGTTGACCCTGACGGCGGTGTGTGTTACAGGTGCGTTCGATCCTTCAGCTGCTCTCTTGGCTTGCGGCCAAGCCTTGTCTTGATCCTCTTCTGGTGCTGGACCGATGCCATATCCGTGTTCTGGGCTTGGGTGTGTTGCTGAGGCTAAGATCAAGGACGTCAGAGCAGGTGGTACTGGCAACATAAGCCGCCCTTGCGTCCTTACGTCTTTCTGACAGGCTTGGCTTGCGTGGCATGAGCTCTGCTCGCCTCTGCCAGGCCTCTCACCCACGGGGTTGCCACCCATGCCCAGCGAGTGGCGCTCAGACGGAGATGGGACCATCAGAGCGGCATTGCAAGACAAGTTGTGCCATGCGCGAAACTAGTGAAAGGCGACTGACATTGATGCCTTCATAGAGTACAACGACTTGGATGAGAGTAAGCGCGACCTGTTTTTCAGCTTGCAGCACCTCTGGGCGGATATCCACTTGACGAGTTCTTCTGCTGTGTCAGGTGCTGAAGCGCAGCTTAGGGTCCCAACCTCACGTCATCTCACGTCTAAGTGCCACAGCCAGCCTAGCACTGATTTGAATATGCGGCCATTTCGGTAGTGGCTTTCGTCGAGGCTTGTCCACCGTATGTCATTGCCCTTGTGCTTGGCAAGGGGGCACACACCTCAGCACAACTGGTTGGATCATGGTTCGATGGGCTTGTTTTGCATAGAGAGAGAGACCTAATGACTGTCAGGACCTCAGAGGCACGCGGAACCCCTCCTCTGTTGTGCTCTCCCGAATCCGCGAAGCGAAGGCTGGCCTCTTCCGACAGCGAACCTGTCGGGAAAATTTGGGGTCCTCCCACATAGAGTTGTGTCCCTCACAGGCAGCTCCGCCACCGCCGCGAGCTGAAATGCGCCAAAGGCGTGCCCAGATCATTCCATTGTTCCGGGTTGCGCGGGGCCTGAGGCCTCTGCCAGTGCACATGCCACCTCCTGGAGCAATGAGCTGAGAGTGGTAGAGGTGGCAGAGCAGGTAGAGCATTGGCGAGTATACGCAAGGAATATCAACTGCTGTGGGGTGAAGCAGTTGCTTGATCTGTGACAAGTTGTTTGGCGGAAGACTTGGGGCTGGGCCTGCTCAGGTGCCGTTTCCGGGGCATGTGCCACCCTTCGGTTACCCGCGCGGGCCCGAACCCACATTGCCCTTGTCCCCGTTTCTGCATTCGCAATAGCTACAACTACAGACCCTACTTCCGAAGAACACGATGAGTGAACCCTGACGCCTTTCTGCCTGTAATGGGCGAGCGAAGTCATACCGAGTCATGCCTTGTCATTGTAATGCTGCCCTTGCTGATGATAGACGCTGCAAGCCCACAAGTCGGCTAGACCAGGCCGCCAGGGCATCCCTTTGCATTCCCGCCGGGCTCTCGTTTGCTGCACCCCGACGACCGGTGAGCACAGTCTTCCCTGTAACGATCTTCAGATCTGCAACGTTTGAAGGCAAGCGTTTGATGTTTATTCTGAGCTCCCAAAACAATGTGTGTCAACACTCTGAGATGCAAACGCTCAGGGTTAGGAGCTGTGGGCGCGGCCAGCATAGTTTCCATCGTTTTCGGTCGAAGTCGCATTCCCGTCTAGGTGCTGCCTTGACTACATGGATCGTGCTTTTGCGGGTGGCACTTGCGATGTGCCATCGTGGTCTGTATACTCTTTGGGATCTAAGCCGGCGTATTTTCAAAGTGATGCAATCTGATGGATGTGACGCAAGCGTCGACTATAGTCTGCACAGAGGCCCCACGGAGCTCCTCCGTTTGGTCCGCCGTGCAATGCTGAGCTGTCAGCTGCAAGAGCCAGTGTTTGCGTCTCGCAGTAGAGACGGCCTGACAAGTGGTTCTGTGCATGTGCACAACTCGGGTACGCCAACCAAGTTGCTCGGAGCATGCGCTAGCTATCCAAGGCCGGGCTACCCTCCTCACATGGCGCCACCTCCAGGCAGCCGATCGGATGTGCTCGAAGTTGAGGGACGGGAAAAGTCGCTTGGGCATTCGTGGGTGATCCCTGACGGTGATAAATGGCAGGTTATCCGCCTGGACCTCCTGGCTACTATGGGCCCCCTGGCTATCCAGGCCACATCTTGCTGGGAGATTCATTTTGAGAGCCTGGGCGAGACGATGCTTCTTGCTGCTTTGTTGGCTCTCGCGCGCCTCGTTTCACATCCTCTTGAGTGCTTTGCCATGGCTACTGGCTTTGTGGCCGTTGTTGCTCCGGCGGCAGTGCGGCCGCCTTGCACGGCACCAAACCGTCAGCAGAGGCGAACGTGTGGGTGGTGAAGCTGCTTCTTTTGCCACGAGTGATCTCACGGGCTATCTCCTTTGCGCTCACCTGGAAGGTTCCAGGGTGGCATCGGGAGGACTTGACTATCTGCTCACGCATCTCTCACCGTCCAGAGAACTCGGAGATACTCAGAGCATACATCCAGAGCCCACGATTCTTCAGTTTGAGCTCCTGCTACGGCTGCTAAGGCCCCCCGCTCCCCCCCACCCCCGAAGTCTGTAAGCCATCTGCCAGGATCGCTGCTGCTCCAACTCTTGCCGCTCTGGGCTGCGGCTATGGGGCCCGGCTGTAAGAAGCATATAAGATCATACAAGAGCAAGAGCGAGTCCCAAGCGTGGCAAACATGCCCGTCTCACAGATGACATATTGCGCCGTTCTGGTACAGATCCTCTTGCCATCTTGGCGGGAGGCACTCGCGCAGCGTAGCCTGCGAACGCGGCGGCAAGCGAAGAGCCGGAGCCTTGTCCCAGTGGCCAGTGATGCCCATTTGTTTGACAAGGCTCGAGGCTCAGCTCGCCGGGGCGGAGAGAACTCGAGAACTCAGTCCCTAGTGGCCCTAGTGCGATTGCTGCATGCATCTTAGGAAATCTCAAGGGAAGTCTTCGAGCAAACCTATAGCGAAGTCCGACAGTGCAGCGCCTGATGCTTACAATCAAGAGACGCGCGACATCATACTCTCGATGAGTAATGTCGACAAGAAGTCGCTAGATGGCAGCTACATCTTGAAAGATGTTTCCCTTGGCATGTACATGGGGGCAAAGATCGGCATTCTGGGCAAGAACGGAGCAGGAAAGAGCACGGTGATGCGAATCTTGGCAGGGGAAGATGACGAATTCCTTGGCCAGCTTGACCGTGACGAGTCTGTTCAGGTAGGATACTTGGCTCAAGAGCCAGTCCTCACAGAGGAAACGGTGATTGAAAACTTAGAGCCCGCGGTGGATCGCATCAAGGGCATGGTGAAGGAGTTCGAGGACGTGAGCATGCAGATGACAGAGCCTGATGCTGACGTGGATGCCTTGATGGAGAAGATGGAGAAGATCCAGACCAAAATCGATGCTTGCAATGGCTGGGAAATAGATCAGAAGCTGGACGAGGCACACTGTTGATGCAATTCCATGCAATCAAGGTCCTGCCGAGTTTCTGAGCCACTGAGCCTGCAGACTTCTGGCAGGCCATGGGGGCGCTCAACTGTCCACCACGCGATGCGAAGATCGCAACGCTCAGTGGAGGGGAGCTTCGCCGCGTGGCGATTTGCCGCCTACTTCTGTGTGAGCCTGAGGTCCTGTAAGCTGGAAAGCACTAAGCTGGCCTCTGCTCATGGACTCTTTCAGGTCGGGTCCTGACATTCTCATGCTCGATGAGCCCACGAATCATCTGGACGCTCAAAGTGTTGCTTGGTTGGAACGCTTCCTGGCGGAGTTCAAGGCGGACGGAGCCCGCATATTGTGATCCAGTCGATCTTGTCGAGTCTGATTCGCGGAAAGGCACGCTTAGTTTGATGTTCTATTCGCTAGGGCCTCGAAGATGAGTCCGATGATGACGTTCTAGCACAGCTATGCACCGCTTTCTTTGAAGAGCAGCGTGTTGGTAGGGGACTGTGGTGGCCATCACTCACGACCGGTACTTCCTGGACAACGTGGCCGGCTGGCCGCTGGGAGGAACAAGACGAGTTTGCTGTGGGTCGATTTGCTAGTCACGATAATCCGAATTCGTTTTCAGACATGTCCGTTTTCACCCAAGGATATTGGAGCTGGACCAGGGGAAGGGCATCCCCTTCCAAGGCAACTACTCCGGATGGCTTGAGCAGAGAGCCGCTCGGCTCGGAGCAAGCCAAGTTCACCACTCGGTCTCCTGGAGTCTCGTTGTTGCAAGTTTGGAAAAGTCAGTCGGCGATGCCACGAAGTCAGTGCCAGCCACTGTTAGGCCAAACGGCTGGAATCCGAGCAGAAGCGCAAGGCTACCCTGGAGAAGCAGATGGCCAAGGTTCGCCTCCAGCATGCTCATCGTGGAGATGTATGAAGCAGTTTGAATTCAGCTTGCTTTGCTTGTAATTCTTGGGCTTCTGCCAAGAAAGCAGTGGCGTGGGCGTGGGCGATTGTTGATCATAGCATCATATCGCCAGACACCGATGAACACTACCTGAGATGACAAATCAGAAGTGGCTTAATATGCTGCTAATTGTGTTGTGATACTGTGTCAATCCTCCTGGAGTGGCGCCTTACAAGATGTGTTTGCTTGTGCTCCTGATACGTTGGTATGGTAGCGAGCGTGCCAAGCGGTACCTTGCTTTGCGAGTGAAACCCTCCCGGAAAGTGCAACTCTGAATCTTAGTATCATGCGAGAGTTTTCTGAGGAGCTGGAGTTTATCAATGCCCGGCGCAGTGGAAGGCAGGACGACAACTGAGCGCTGCTTGTGTTGGTGGTCTTGTGAGGTGTTCTTGTGACGGTGTAGGGAGAAGCCGTCCAGCTTGCTGGACTTACTCTCTTTTCCTGCTGTCAGGCAGAAGAAGGGCAAAGCTCGTTTGCGAATCTGGGAAAGAATTTGTTTGCCTCGAGACTAATTCAACTCAGCTGATGCTTCTCCATCATTTCTCATCCTGGCACCTGTGTTTGGTTGAGGCACCTGTGACGGGGTTTCATTTTGTGCGAAGATTGTTGGCTGGGGCATTGATGGAAGTTGAAGCCCTAAAGCTTCGGAAGCTTAGCCAGTAGACACCAGAAATCTTGCCCAGGAAGATTTGAAGACCTGGAGCAGCAGGCGCAAACTTATTTCTTCGAACTTGCGGCCCGTCATGGCCGCCGGAAAGATGCTCCCATCGCTCAGCCTAGTCCAACCCTGGGTTGCATGCGCTCGTGAACTGTCCCATGCATCGTGTGACAGTGTGACCTTGTTGCATAACATAGCTTGACGTAGCTTTTTCGGGTGAAGCAGCTTCTTTATTGTGCATGGGTGCATGATATTCTCGCACATCACGGTTGTGAAGCATCCAAAGTAACGTATGAGCTGCTGCCAACCGCAGGAAGTAACAGGAGTTTGCATGTTGCCCCATCCGCGCACACTTGTTCAAAATCTCAGAAATCACTTGTCTTAGACTGGCTTGGGCTACGGACAGTGGCTTTTGCACCACCGGCAAGATCGTTCGGCTGTCCTTCACAATAGCTTGTCGAAGAGCACTTGCCCATCGCAGCCATGCACGGACGCTACTGGTAAAGTCACTAGTCATCAACCACGGCACATCTGTCCAGGCAGATGCCTTCAATCGGAGCAGTGATCTAGAGTCCATTGTGATCACTCCTGGTCCACGCCTGGCTGCTTGGTCATAACCATGAAGATTGCAGGTTGGGGACATCGCTAGATCAAGTGTCAGATTCTGCAAGGCATGTGTGCATTCGTCTGATGATGTATCCCTACCATGAGATCTGGAGAGAGGATGCTCGAAGTGCCCGCACAAGTTTGAGTTGAATGTAGAACCCCACCACTGCAGAATTCCAGCGAGCCCGTGGTCACTGCAAGGAACCTCTGCAAGGCGGAGCTGTCAATTTCGATAACCGATAACCTTGACGGATCCCCTGTGACAAGCCCTCTCTCAACCTGAAAACTCTGTGAGCTTGGAAGGGCTACGGTGACCGGCTCCTCATCAACGAAGCCAACTTTGAGCGTCTCTTCAGCAGCATGCTCCAACACGACTTGCGTCACCACATCCCGAGCATGTTGACTCGTGAAGTAGTTTGGGAGCCGTATGCGTCCCTCAAGGACCACACAACCTACCATTGCACGGTATTTGCTCATTGGTTGGCACGTGTCAGGATTCCCGCAGGCGCGGTGGTGGGCATCATTGGCCCCAATGGAGCCGGAAAGTCCACTCTCTTCAAAATGATCATGGGCAAGGTGCTAGGGTCACAACTGACCATGCTGAAAGCGTAAGCGTAGGAAGGTGTTTGTTGATGTGTGCAGCTCGTAGATGGTGTAGCCGGGCCAGAAGTGTGGCCCGGACTAGGGCCTTGCAGGGCCCTACGTGTATTTAGAGGCGTGTGCAGAATTTTTGTAGAGGAGCAGCCAGACAGCGGCGAGCTGCTGGTTGGGGATACAGTCGCGCCGATGTATGTGGAACAGATGCGGGAAGACCTGGACGGCGATTCTACTGTGTTCGAGGAACTGACGGATGGCCTCGACACCATCAACATTGGTGGTCGTGAGGTGAACAGCCGGGCGTACTGCTCATGGTTCAACTTCAGGGGCAAGATCCAACAGCGCACGGTCTCCTCCCTCAGTGGGGGGGAACGGAATCGCCTGCAGCTCGCCCGGACGCTTCGATTGGGTGGCAACTGCCTCATGCTGGATGAGCCATCGAATGACCTGGATGTGGAAACCTTGCGGGCGCTTGAGACGGCGATCGAGAATTTTGCAGGAACAGTGCTTTGCATCAGCCACGACCGATGGTTCTTGGATCGCATCGCCACCCACATCATGGCCTACGAAGGTGACTCCCAGGTCTCTCGGCTTTCTTGTTGCAAGAATTCCAGTAGTCATGCCGACCACCACTCAGGTAGTGTTCTTTGAGGGCGGCTACAGTGACTATGAGGAAGATCGTTTCAATCGAACTGGGGTGAGAGACCCCACCAAGATTAAGTACAAGCCCATGCCGACTTTCGCCTGAGCTTCCAAGCCAGGCCTTGCAATGATCCAAGAAGGTGATGCAGACAAAGTGTGACTTGCTTTCGTAGAGTATGATGAATATGAATCGTGCCGCCAGAAAGGTAGGTTTTTCCCGATTGCTCACTTTCTGCTGGGCTTGGTCAGCTGGACCCTTTGTAACCGCCAGCTGCATTCCAAGCCCATCACATGCAAATAGAACCAGATGCCTAGCGAAAGGAAAAGGGGAGAAGATTGTCTGCTGGCGCAGACTGTTCGCAGCCAGGGTCCATGGATTGCAGCATGTGCTTCCTTGTCTTGTCTAGTTGCCAAAGAATGCGTATGTAAGGAGCTAATTAGGACTTGGAAAGGGCAAAGATGCCGAACGCGCCCTCAGCTGTGGAGGTCCCTATGCGCCGCCTGGAGGCCATGTCCCGGATTTTTGACCGACAGAGCCTGTTTGGCTTGGTCTGCACATGTCGTGAGATGTAGGTGACTTTGTGAGAATATCTCAAAAGTACCTTATTGCAGGCCGCGCATGCTAGCAAACTTCAAACTTCAAGTCAACAGTGCTCGCTTCCTCGGCACGACGAGTGCAACTACGAAGCATAGACCGTGTCGCCGGCTTGATATCTACATTATCTACCGCAGCTCCGTAGCTTGCTTGGGCGGCTCCAAAAACATTGGCTTGCTACGCATCAGGCCCCTATGGTTGGATCCTCAGCACGCATGCGACATTCGTGATGACATCCATGGACCGGACCGCGAAGGGTTCAAGGCCAGTTTCGGGCAACCGGGGCCTGCTTCAATCCAGGCGCTCCACCTCTGGCCCCAGCTGCAAACGGCCGGCGGGCCGCTCAGAGAGTGCTCAGAGGCATGAGCGCTCCGCCGTAAAGTCCCCAACTCCAGGTTGAGCCTGGAGTGCACCTCTGCGCGGCCCTGCACACTTCAGCAGCTGAGGCCTTCAAGCCGAAGCTATAGCTATAGCTACAGCCGCAGCATGGACCTCAGGGGCGTCGCTTCTGGGTGCGGAGATTCCGATGCAATGTGTGGTCAAGCCGGTAGCTTGCCAGATGCGAAGCGCCATTTGATGCGGCGTTCCATTTACATTTCATCATTTCCATCATTTTCCTAACCCTGACATGCCCGGGAACGCATTGTATTTGGAAGGAGAGCTGAGGTCGAAGTCGAAGTGATAGCCGCAAGCGCAGCGATCACAGCCCGCTCACCCAGAGCTCTGCATGTCAGAGACGCCAAGTCAAGTAGCTTACGGGCATAACAGGTGTGATCTTCGCGAGGTATGCGTAGTGGGAGGCCTCTCTGAACCATAGGATCGTGTTTTGTCAAGTTTTTGCCTCAGCCATCACCCTGGTTTCCTGTACCTCATCCTGGGAGCCCGCAAAAGAATCCCAGGACTGCCCACCCCAAGTAATAAAGAACCCTGCGGAGCATCCCATGCAAGCAGCTTGGCTGATTGTGGAACATACGTTCGGTCGTGGAAGTGATACGGATGTTGTAGGTGATGGGTGATGCCTTGGACAAAGCAGGTCGCAGTAGCCGCAGCCGGAGCCGAAAGCGGAAGGCTCCATGGTCACACGCCAGCTGCTTGCCAGTCATGCAGGGTTCGACAAATCACCCCAACACTTGTGCATTCCACCGACGAGGAAAAGGATAAGAAAGATCAAAAGGAGAAAAAGGATAAGGAGAAAGACAAGGAGAAAGACAAGAAGGTTAAGAAGGACAAAAAAGACAAGGTTGTGACATTAGCTCTTGCATGCTGCAGATGATGTCAACCGATGTGGAGCGGGCCTGAGTCACGACTGATGTCCAGGCAAAGGCAAAAGAGAAAGAGAAGGACAAGGAGAAGGAGAAGGATAAGGAGAAGGACAAGGAGAAAGACAAGGAGAAGAAGGCCCTTGGGCTGCAGGTTTGCTGTCAGTTGTCGGTATCGCTCTCCTAGGCTTGCATGCAGCTGTCGAGCAGCATCCCAGGCCAGGTAGGACCATTTCCTTTGAATCAGGCCAAGAAAGACAAGAAGCGGTGATTCTAAGCTGGGACCTGCACTTCGGCTTAGCAAAGCATATCCAAAAGTCCAGCAAGGGTCAGCAATCCTGCTAGATATTTACATGTCATCAAACTCCGCCAAGTCACCTTCAACTGCCGATGGGAGTCGTGGCGTCTGCCCATCCACACGTTTGTCCGAGCAAGCGAAGTGTGTTTCTCTGCAGACGCCATGAGTAGAAGGAGCTGGATGCGGTGTGGCGAGGCCGAAAAGTGACGCACCAAAAAGCGCAAAGTTAGCAGTTGGAGTCGGTAGAGCTGGGTTCTTGAACTGTCTGCTGAAGGCTCAAACATGTACCGAGCAGTCACACGTTCAAGTTTCGGCCCTTGCCCCCACCGAATCGAACAGGCTTTGCAAGAAGAGTCACCTTGATTACATGAAGCAAAAGTGGGAGTGGTAGTGAACTCAAACCTTCAAACCCTCGGCACGGAGTGTTTCCCAGGCCTGTGAGCTTTGCCCTCACCATGTTCTGTGCGCTTAAAATCGATAAGGAACTCATACTGCAGCGGTCGGAGCTCTTCGAACATGGCCCCAGGCTCAAGCGTGCTAAGCATGATCTGACGAGCTGCGGCTCCATATGCCATTCCCCGCAGGAGAACGGGCTATTCGAGTCTTGTCTTGTGCTGCATGGGCTCGCGGCAGGGTTCTCGGGACAGAAGCTGATTGCCACAGAGCTGCAGAGCAACAGAAGCTTGCTACCAGAGCAAGAAGCTTAATCGCAAAGAAAGGCAAGCACGGGATACTGTGGATGTTCGTAGTTCTACGTAAGATGTATCGAAAGATGTTTGGAAGCATAAACACTTTGTGCAGTGGTAGCAGTAGCCATCTTGGCCAGCGCCACTCCACAAAGATGGCCTGACATTCTGCAGTCGTGGACCCAGGAGCCAGCAGGCTGTTTTCCCGAAAGGGTTGTGAGTTGTGAAGGGTTTTTTCACGGGCTGCGCAAATGTTGCCTGTCAGATGTGATGCCCCGATTGATGAGATGCTCTCGTTGCAGACTCTGCGAAACTGCGACTCCTTGATTGTAGGTTAATCTTAAAAGATTTGAAAGTGACAATGATCTCCATGTGCCCGGCGTGCCATGTCGACATCCAAAGTGGCGTCGGTTTTGGAACTCCCTATTTGCATAAAAAACCAGCAACCTTTGTAAGTACGACACTAAGAACGTCCGGATCTCACCACATGAATTTCCGGAGCCCCTTTCCTTCTGGACCCCAGTCTCGAAACCTCAAAAATGATCTGCGAGGGTAGAGCTTGTTTTCAAAATCGGTGCCCTTTCACATTTGGGGGCGACAGGCATTGGCCTTGGAACCTGCTCCCCAAACTCCGAACAACTCCCTAAACTATGCCTCTGCTTGTATGTCGCAACGAATGGACACCCTGGAAGCCCTCTTGTTGAAGAAGTATCGAAATTCTTGAGCCAAGATTTCTTCCTCTCCCCTCTCAGGCTTTCAGGCTGCAGCATGCTGGCGCAGATGTTCTCCCAGGCTGCCTTTCCCAGACAGCCGACACAGTCATGCCGAATGGTGCACAATGATGCGCATCTTGCAGCACAACACACTTGGCCAATTTACTGCAAGAGGCAGCAGGGCGAATTCTGATCTTGAAGGAATGCGCTTTCAACAATCTAACGCCCGAGGCCAGACAAGATGCCCAGGAGCGTACACCAGGCGGCGCGCTTCGGTGTTGCCGCTCTCAGGAGTAGGGGTAGGTCGGAGTAGGCAGCTTTGTTTGCAGGTCTTTTGTTCCAGTCCACCAGGCATCTGATTATCAGGAACATGTCCTGGCAGTGTTGGCATGACTTACATGGATGCGGTAGGTGGACTTTAAAGGTTCAGGCTCGACACCAGGCTCGCCAGGGCCTTCGGCAGCATCTCGAGGGCCCGAGACTTTTCAGGTGGTTCTCGCCGCCCAAGCGATGGCAGTGGCGGGCTCTTCAAGCATGGATCAAGGCATCCTTGATGCAGCATTTCTCAACTGGCACACACGGACAGCTCGACGCAAGCTTGCTGCTTTGTATTCTTCACCAGGTCCAGCCACCAAAGCCAGGAGGAAACCACTGCAGGCGCACTGGTGCTTGCATGGCTACACAGGATCCTCATCCTGCAGCACAGGATGGGTTGTGGGATCCGCCTCAAACTCGCCAAACGCGACGTTTCGCCCTCGTGGCAGGCCATTGGCAGCCGCAGCACGATGGAGGCCGGAACCGACCAAGATAGTCTAAGCATTCTAAGCTTGAGTCGACTTAAGCAAACTTGAGAGATTTTGCCCTGCAGCGCGGCGTGCCTGCTTTGCGGGTGGCCAGAAAACCTGCGAAACCATTGCGCAGAATACTGATAAGACATGTGACTTGCGGGAAAGCACGTTCCAGGCGAGGATTGGGCTTCTGCCTCCCCCGCCCCTCGCCGGGCCACACGGCTGCCATTAATGTTCGCTGAGCATGAGTCAGATCACCCTGCACAGTCTGCTAGCACAGCGCCTACGAAATCTGGAGTGCTTCTGCTGCGCTCAGACTTTGCCATTCAGCTTCTGACCAAAATCAGGCACTGCACCGAGAGTTCCAAATCCTTGAGCCTGTTGTCGGGCAGGATGCAGTCTTGCCGCAGCATAGCGCAGCAAAGCCAAGAACACGTATGCACATGTCCCAGTGGCCCAGATCCTTCCGAGAGGAGTTGGTCACCGTCAGCATGGCCTCAAGCCTGTCTGGCGCTGGCCCCGGGACTCCTGAAACTCCGACTAGGACTGACCCTGTGCGTTTCGGCTGTCGGCCAGAGTTTGCAGATCAACGTAGCCCACGAGATGCCTGTGGTGGGTTCCAAACAAAAAGCGAACTTCAGGCATTCATATGAATGGCAGCCTTCATATGTCAGGTTCTCCTCCCTCCGAGAAGAGAGCTCTTCTTGTAGCTCGGCTGCAAGCTGCCAGCTGCCAGCTGCCGTTTCTTGTGGTCGACACATTCGAGCAGGTGTGCTTGTAGTACGTGCATGCCTGTTGCATCATGTTGCCTCCCTCCATGTCGCACTCTAAGGGCTCTTGCCAAGAAGCAGCTACTGTAACATGTGCATTGTGCACATATGTGCACCTCAAGTCGTATTCGGAGGCATACTCCCAATGCTTGGAAGCACGCCTTCGAGCATTGACCGCCGAGAATCGAGGCCGGAAAGTCTGGCGCATCCCCTTGCAGAGTCCGCTTGTGTTCCTGCGACTTGAGCCCCTGGTAAATGAGTTTTTGAAGGTCTGCGAGTTCAGCTGCACGAAGAGGAGGCTGTGAGTCTTTTTGCTTCTTTTTTGCACAGGACGGGGCTTGGCTCGAAGATGGCACAAGAATGCATGATGCCCATGGCAAGGCCCGCTTCATACAGCTGCGATCGAGCACCAAACAGGATGAGTTGGACTTCGAGTTGCGGCCCCTGGCACACCTTCTGCTCCCAGTCAGCTCGGGGGCCCCAAGGGCCAATCTTTGAGGCTTCGGCTCAGGGCGAAGATGAAACAGCTCGACACGCGGGTCAAGGCGTCCCACTTTCACAGCTTATCTTATCTCACATCACAACCCCAGTCATGGCTTCACCGAAGAGGCTAGAGAGCGAGCTTGGCACTGAGGGCAATCCAGCTGTCGTTTCTTTTTCATGCCGGGCTATACGGTAGAACCCGCCAAGTACATGCCAAGGTGCTTGAAGCTGTCGTATGAAAGCCAGCCTCTTCTGAGGTTGGAGTGCTGTTCGACGCATGGTCACGTGTGATATCACGAGCGGCGTGCTTAGAAATCCTGCTCCCAAGCCAGGTCGTTCAATTCCTCACGCCCCTTTCAAAAATGTGAATTGTCAGATTCATGCTGCGGCTATAGACTTTCCACGGCCAGTGGTCAATGCTGAAGCACTTGTTGGTTAAGACTTGTAGAAGTCAAGTTTTTTCCACGGCCCAGTCGTTGCAGAACCATCAACAGCAATCCATCTGACCGTCGAAGCAGCACATGTGTGATACTGTGATACTAGTCTAAATGTGCAGAATATCCGATCATCAGGCTTGGCGAGACAGGCCCGTCGATGGTTCCTGCCGTCGAGCATGAACAGAGTTTCGCATCCATCACATGCCGGCCAGCAAGCTGCTGATGTTGCAGTGGAAGTAGAGGTTTGTGCAGAGCACCCATTGGAACCTGCCTTGCATATGGAGGTGTTTTGCCGCAGAGCAGGAACTGGCTTTTCTGCGATGCCAAGGACTGCTCTGCTCTGGGTGACGGGTAGCAGAGCTATGTCTACGCAAAGCCGACTAGCTAGCGGTGGCAGACGAGCTTCGGCGGGACCCACGAAGACAGCCCTGGATATCCTGCGAATCGAATCTGTAACAGCAGAAATACTACTGGCCTAAGTTTTTTTTGGTTTTGCCCGCTGCCAGCAACTCGTCAGCCTGATGGCAGGGGCAGACCAGGATCGCCAGCGCGCAGAAGAGGCGCCGTCGTCATTCGTCGCCTGTAGGGGGTCTTGAGACGCGGGAGGCTCTTTCAGAGTCTTTGCTTTGCTCTCTTCTTCCCCAACCCTCGGTGTCGGGTGGTTGGATGAGATGCTGCCCATTCAATGCAATCCCGCAGGGTACACCGTAAAACGCTCGCAAAGTAGCAGTAAACATGCTTGCGAGAAGTGCCCATCAGCAAAGAACTCAGCAGAGAATGCGCAGCCTGCAGATTTTCCGTCGAGAGAGAGGCACGTGATGACCCCTAGAGCGCCCCCATACAATTAGTTTTAGGGTGGGGGATGTTCGATGCCAACAGTGTGTGCTTGTCTTGGATAGTTTGTAATGCCTTCATGAAAGCATGAACGGAGCCAAAATAGAGTTGTTTACCTCCAAGATCCCCACCCTAAATGCAGTGTCATGGGTCAAGGAATCTGCACTCTGGGCACACTGGGAGCAGGAATGGGAAACCGTCATTGGGATTCCTTGGGGAGTGGGCACTCTAACAATACTCTGTGAGTTTTTTGCGGCGGAAC